GGTGTACCGAAGGCCATTTCCTATTATTTCTTTCCACTCCCAGCGTCTGGTCCTGAAGCTGCGACACCATTTACGAGGCCTCCTGACTCAGTTTGTCCGGTGTGTGCGAGCGCCCGCTGTGTAGCTGGCACACTGCCGAGTCTCCATGCTTTCCAGTTCCCCTCGAAGAGGCTGGAAGTAGGTCAGCAGCTGACCTTTGCTGACCTTCAACCCCAACAAGTCCACTCTCCCTTCCCTTCCCCTGTCCCTATTCCCAGCGTTTTGTTAGTTTATCTTAGCCAAATGGACACAGAATGTGAACCATACCATGAGACGTGTCGGCGCAGCTTGGGGTGACTGAGCCTAGTCACAGTGTGTGCACATCACCATTTCACGGCCCTTCCGTCACCCCAAACTGTAAACTCATCTATTTTCTCTCTCTCTGGAGTCACTGCATAGTTCATATAGATGTGGTTCTCCAACATCTGACCTCGTGTCTACTTAACCCACTCACGCCACAGCTTTCTTAAGGTTCATGTTAGCTGCACTGGGTCCCTGGGCGGCCCCTCCGCATGGCTGGATGGCGCCGCTCTGCATAGAACTGTGCTTGATTTCTACTATTTTCTCTGGGTCTTGGTTACCATGGAGAAAGCTGGGTCCTTCTTTTCAATTCCTGTTAAGTATGCACCTTGCTGTCTATTACAACTACTCCACGTTCTGCTGTTGGAGCAACTTCCGATTTGTTTCCCATGGCAATTAGACCACGTCACGGTCCCCGTTCCCCGCTTCTCCTGCTCCTCCTCTTGGTGTGGTGACATGTGTGGGCACACGCAGAAGCCGGAGGTTGTCTTTCTCGGCCACTCTCCGCCTGACTTTTTGAGACAGGGTCTGTGGCTGAACCTGGAGCTGCCTGAAATGGCGAGGCTGGCTGCGACCTTCCTCCGCCTGCCGTGACCTGCTGCGGAGCAGTGGATGGACGGCCAGCTCCAGCATCTTCATGATGAAGAGGTGTGCAGTCACACACCTGGGCTGCAGTTTCGCCTCCTCTCCTCAGTGTTGGCTGAGTTAGCTGGGACTGACCACTGCACTCATTTCCCAGCACCCCCGGGAACTTACGGGCTTAAAGCAACAAAGTTCCTGTCTTCAAACTCTAGGGTCAATCACTAACACGGGTCTGCAGGTGTCCGCAGGGCTGGTCTCTGGAGGCTGTGGGGAGCACTGGTTTGATGGTGCTTTTGAGCTGCTTGTGGCCACTTGCACGCCTGTCTTTCAGCCCTATCTCCACCTTCAAAGCCAATCAAGGCTAGACCGATGTCACATCCCACCATCGGATTCCCTCCCCACCTTGGAGGACTTTGATTATAAAGGCTGTCCATGTTCAACAGGTGCGGGGCAGAGGTAGACGCCTCAGTGTGAGTTGGCAGCTGCCTGTGCTCACAGGTGTGTGTGTGGACACTTTAGTGTGAGACACCAGTGTGACAGCTGCCTGTGCTCACAGGTGTGTGTGTGGACACTTTAGTGTGACACACGAGTGTGACAGCTGCCTGTGCTCACAGGTGTGCGTGTGGACACTTTAGTGGGGAGACATTACTCTGTTTACTACAAACAAGAGAGTGACGTCTTCCTTATAAAAATCAGTCCAAGGATTACTTTTTTTTTTCCGAGTATTGGAGATGGAGCCCAGGGCCTCGTACATGTTAGGCAGGCGCTCTAGCTCCAACCCTGATTATTTGTATTTCTGATTCTTTCCCTTCCTTGAGTTCTAGTCCTGAAGACTGCAACCCATTCAAAAGGCGCCTACTGGTGTCCAGCAAATACTCAGGGCCTTACATATGCCAGGCCAAAGCTCTGCCAACAAGCTCCACCCCAGCCCTTGGCTTCTGTGACAGGGACCCCCGTTGGGAGTCACTGCCCTCCTCCCAAATGCCGAGATCACAGGCATGCCCACCCCACTGGGACAGCCGACTGAGGTTCTTGACTCTTGAGACAAGGCCTTACTACGATGCCCAGGCTGGCCTGGAACTCAGAGATCCACCTGCTTCTGCCTCCTGGGTACTGGGATTAAAGACGTGTGTCACCATGCCAGGCTACCTGTTGGGTCTTTAGTTGATAAAACAAAACATTGAGTGCTTCAAGCCTGGCACCCAGAGAGCACTGAGTCTCCTTTGCTAGTGAGCATTGCCCACGTCCACTTGTGACAGCTGCTACTTTTTCAGCTCTTTGGCAAGGCAATCCTTGCCCCAAGAGTCTACTTCTCGGTTGGGAACCACTATCTTTTCCTACTATGCGCCCACAATGACCCCCCAGGGCTGGAGCGTAAGCCTGTCTCCTATGTGAGACCTAGAGCAGCAGGTCCCATTCCAGTCTTCCTGCCTGTCCGTCAGGTGAGGGACCACGGCTTGCTCCTCTCTCAGAGGCTAGCCTGCGATCTGTGTCAGGGGATGTTGTCCAGTTGCAGGAGGACACACAGCTGTTTTCCTCTGCACTTCTTCCTCACACAATTCACGTGTGAATCCATCACGGCAACCTCGTGCTTCTGTCCAAATTGCGTGCATCTACCTCACCGGCCAGCGAGGTTTGTCTACGTCACAGGGGGATGCTGTTCCCCAGTAGGGAACAGGGAGCCACCTCAATCTCAGGGATTTGTTCCTCAGTGGACACTTTGATGCTATCGACTAGGAGGCCAGCTCAGGTTTGGTATTTGTGTTTTTGTGTTTGCTTTGTTTTCCAATGCTACAATACTGTCTCCCATTATATATAGTTCTCAGTTTGGGGGCCTTTCTCTCATTTCTATCTCAAATTTATGTTTCAAACTCATTTCTAGCCCAGAGTTTTGTGCCAGTGTCCCTGCTTGTTTTGTGAGATGCCAGCTGTCTTCAATCCCAGCCTCTATCACACTGCAGGCATCTAGGGGTACGGGAGCCTCCACACCAGCACCTTCGGGGTAGATGGGTCAAGGGCCCCGGGTTTGCGCTCAGATTGAGAAACTAGACTGAGGTGAGGGAAATCGCCAGCAGGTCTGCACAGCAGTAAGCAGGCATCTGCCATGCCAGAGCAGTGATCAATACTCCTCAGGTGGGAGCCTGCTGGGGGCCTGAGCCAAACATCCACACCACTACTCCTGAGGCAAGTACCAGAACCTTCAGCCATCACACAGATCCCCTCAAAGCACATGACCAGACGTCCTCTTCCCAGAAGGGCTGGAGCTACAGCTCACTAAGTATCTAGGTATATCCACGGAGACCGCTGCGCTGCCTGCAGCCAGGCAGAGCGGCCACCCTGCGTCCTGAAGGGCCAGCCCACGTTCTCCCATTCCAAACCCCAACCACTGGTTCCCTCTCTGTTGCTGGATTCACAAATCCTGTTTTCTTCCTGGCTTCCTTTCTGGTTGTTTGACACAGTGACGACACATCCTTACGAATAAATCCCACTGGCCCTCTCATGTGCTCGCTCACCTGGGCAGGTAGCACCCCTGCAGCCTGTGGTTCTTACAGCTCTGGTTTCTACCTTTACCACCTGTCCCAGGTCTTCAGGGAGGCTGCGATCTGGACACCTGGCTCATAGCTCACGATCAGAATTTCTGATCCTACAGCCTCTGTGGACTGTAATATTACGGCAGTCCCTAGGTGGGGTGTGTGTATGGGGAGCTGGGGGGCGGCTCCACCCTGTAACTTGAAACCCCATCTGCTGATCCTCCTCCCACTGCCTCACCGTGCCTGGGAACCCTCTGACGGTGTGCCCGGATGGCCAGCATTGGAAGTGGAATCCTTTAAACTGGGCTCATCTCTTTGGCTTTGTCATTGGTTTTATTTGGAAATCACAGCCTTTCTGTGTTTGTATTATAGTTAAAGAGATAACAGGGGGGAAAAGAACAAAAAGATTTAAGTAAAGACTAAAAATGGCACTAGAAACAGCCTCAAAAGCAAACAAAAATAGTGACTGAATGAATGAGGCACACAGTTTGAAGAAGACAGTGAGCACCAGACTGAAAACAAAAATTCAGAGTATTGCACAATGTGAACGCTGGCTGGGAACCGTAAGGGAAGATCCACACGAAAGTCTGCAAAGGTATTTGAAGACCTGGACTGTGCTGTCCTAAAACCAACACAATGGCTATAAAAACATGTCCTTGTTCTAATAAGGCTCAACAGATAGGTGTAAGCCTCCAGAAAGCAGGCATTTAAAAACTTCTTCCTAGTGCTACTTCATAAGATGTAAACTGTATTTCCTACCCTCAGAATAACGGGCCTGCTGGCCTTAACGAGCATCACGGAGAGACATCTCAGCCATTTCATTTTGTAAGAATTGGAGAGTGTTAGTGAGGCCACATGGCCTTCTAGAAATCCTACCAAAGGAGGTGGGCTGACACTGACCCTCTGCTCTGGGATAGCATGTCAACTAAGAGGAACCACTCTTGAGGGTCAGGGAGCATCAGCAGACACCAGAGGTCTCGGATGAATGGATAGTAAGCATGCGGGCAGCAATTCCAATCTATCTATCCTCCGGAGAATTTTAATATTAAGGTTGTATGCTTTTCGACCATAATTGTTATTTAAGGAAGGGATGGAGAAAGCTTTCCAGTGGATGTCAGCGGGCCCAGAATCTGCCAAGGAAAGATCCGCCCGCCAAAGCCCAGATTCTGCCCTCCTGCTCTCGCCTACACCACAGCCAAGGCCAAGTTCAGGCACAGACCTGGCAGCCTTACTGCCTGGCCCAGACAGCGCTGGTGAAAATGAAAACAAAACCAGCAAAGCAGAAAAACAAAACAAAAAAGAACCATTCCTCTGTTCAAAGTTTTCTATGAAAACATAGAACTCCAGTGAGCTGTGGTCCAAGCTCTCATCAGGCCCTTAGAACCCGGATTCTCCCGATGGTGATGTCTGGGGATGTGGCATCTGCTAGGACCGTGCTGGGTTTAGCCCTGCTCAGCTCTGGTCACTAAGGTGGTCCTCTCCCCTCCCGGGCCACCCTCCCCCGGCCCCCCACCCCGGTGGCCCGGCAGCTGTGTGCTGGTGGGGTACCTGCCATTCCTGGTATCATGCTGACGCATGTTCTTGATAAAATGAATCTTCTTAAAATTCTTTGGTCTGGGAGAACCTGAGAGTGTTCGACATCTGAAAAAAAAAAAAGAGTCATTTAAAAACCACTGTCCTTGCCCACTGGACAACTGGGACATCTCCACACAAAAGACAGGAAGGAAAGACCCGCCGCCGCCGAAGCCTAACGACTGAGTCACCCCTGGCAGGCAGGAGTGGGGGTGGGGCGGCATAATGAAGACAATACAGCCAGCCCCGAGCAAGGAAACTTTAGAAACCAAATGACAGACGATTTCCTTGATGATACTGATAGCGTTTTATATGAGTCTCTGAAAAGCTAGCTGGCGAAAATTATTGTCCAAAATTACAATAACATAACCTAAATGGATCCCAAGGACATCAGTCTTCTTGTTATCCTAAAAGAAAGACCCTAAAGGTACAGAGGTAACTGGAACAGAACTCAATAAATTTAAAAGATTTGGGGCTGGAGAGATAACGTGCAAAATCCATTTTAAAAACAGCCCCGAGGCATTTTTCTTCTGGAGTGGGAATTTGGCCTGAAAACCTTGGGCAGTTGCCCCAACTCCTGATTCCACCTGGGAAGTCACGGCTTAAATCCGAACAAGAATCAGGACCTGGGTGTTGCTGTTTCAGCTCACTGCTTCAGAATAAATGTTAATAAGTAAATATCTATTGAACCAAAGTGACCTGAACTTCACAGGTTAAGTCCCTGAGAACGGCAGCACTGTGGCTCCTGACCAACCACAGCTGAGGAAGCGTACTTGTGAACAGTGATTGTTGCAGTAACCTGGTAAAAGCTAACTCACCAAACCACACAGACACCACTCCCAAAGCCAAAAATCCTACCACGACGGCTGTTTTGTCTTGTCTTGACAAAGGGAATTATGACACTCCTATTTTTAATAGATTTTTAAATATTCTTTTTTTACCTTCCTGACTATAGGCCTGAGAGCCGGCTCCTGGACACCCACAACCTCATACTTCCAAAAACAAGTTCTGGAAAAGCAGTCCCGGGGTCCCCACAGCCCACACTGAGCTCTGGGTGGGGACATCATCTGAATACAGTCAGATCGGCCTCAAGGCCACAGAGGGAGGAGACGGAAGAGGTGTGGGGCACACGTGGGAACTGAACTGGGGAACAAGAAGGTTCTAGACCTACAGGGGAATCCCAGTCTTTACTCTCCTCCAGGGCAATCTCCAAGGTGGGGGCAGGCCTGGTCCATCCCCATCTACACTAGCCAACCCTCCTAACAGAGGTCAGCCTTTCTGGAGGCCCTTTCTTAGAGTACAGATCACAACATATTTTTTAAAAAAGAAAATAAACAAAAAACAACACCCTAAAATATAACCTCACTTGAATAAATTGCACTAAAGTAAGTCAATGCATGCCCCAGCAAAAGCATGCAACCGGATAGTATTTTGGTGTTTTTTTCCTATGAAAAGTCCTTCCGTGGCCTGTGTGTCCAGAGGGAGAGAGCCTCACTTCCCATCACTGTCCATTACAGTGGGCTAAAACTCCAGCAAAGGCACGGTCCTCCCAACCTCCAACCCTAAAATTACTATACACTTGATTCACAAATGCTGGCGTTATAGACCACTCAGGGCTCCCAACTAACTCTATTAGTGATACTTCCAATCCCTGCTGCCGTTAATTACTGTGAGGATTAAATGGATATATACATACATGTGTGTTTCATAAATGGCCAAGTAACCTGTTGGAATGAATGCACTTACACACGCACATGCATACACAGTCATATACAAATTTCAAGTGTATTAATAAGCTGTGAGCTGGGTGGGGGACAGAAGGATGGACCTCCCTGTTCTCAAAACAGTAGCTCTTACTAAAGGCTCCGAATTCATAGCTTTAAGTGGGAATTTCTTTAGAATCCTTGCAGAGTGCTGCCTGAGGAAATCAAGCACAGGCAGAACCAGAGATGGTGCCGAGCAGCTCCCTCTCTCCTCCGCAGACTTCAGATTTCCTAGTTCGGGGCTCAAGGGGACTCAGAGCCTCCACCTGCCTTCTTAAGATGCTCTCTGGAAAGAGACCCAGAACCCCAAATTGCCCCCATGCTGACTCCAGAATGACTGCTTAGGTCTAACTCAAGGTTCCCACTGTCTTACAGAAGGTTCTAGAAACCCGGGTTGCTGATGAGAAAAGAACGGTTAAAGCATAAACATACAAGAAGCTATGCCTCCAGGGCATTCTGGGTAGGCCACAGGTTTAAGATTGTCCTGTTCCTTGCTCCGCCCCACCCCCAAACCAGAGCTTTCTGGTCCAGCCAGTCTGAGGAGAAGAAGGCTAAGCTAGATGGGGAGCAGGTGGTGAGCTCACCACGCCTGTCACCTGACAAGCTCTGGATCCCGGTGGCTACTGAAGACAGAATTGAAGGATGACAACCTGGGTCTCATTTGTTGGGCTGCCATGGAGACTGGAAGGCGGCAAGAGGGTCACAGGTGGCTGAGTGCCAGCTGGGTAAGTAGGTGGCCGCAATAATGGCTTCAACAGTGGCGGCTCCAACACCCATCCACCACGCCAGTCTCAGAAAGCGGACAGGTGCTGGCAGCTGCCACAGCTGCAGGAGGCCAATCAAGGCTGCTTCAGGATCTAGAAGAGATGTCCTAGTGTCCTGTTTTGGGGTCCCCGGTGATCACCAGGCAGGTGGCAAACTCCCCTTATCTTGGAGCTTTGGGTGGACACAGGAAACACTGACTGTGATACACCAGAGAAAAGGAAACACTAAAGGGCCTGTCTCAGACGTCAGCTCTCAGCTCCCCACTAACCTGAGCCTTACTCAGCAGGCCGCATGCTGCGCTGCTTTTTAAAAAGCATTCCGACCAACACAGCAGGGAATCAAAGATGCGCTCGCTGTAAGAGCGCCATTAGCAAGGATTGCCAAGGGAACCGGGGTACAGGGCCGCAGGTGACAAGAGGCTGGGCGAGGGACCAATTCACGAAGCTGCCTGCACCAACATGTAAACACCTATTTAAAAGCATACACTCTGAGTGATGCAAAATTAAACTAGGAGATAATTAAATTAAAAACTAATTCAGTGAAAGTTTAGCTCTTCCTTGTTAGCATTGATTAGAGGATACACTTAATTATGCTGGAGTTGTAATAGGCACTTTGGAGGCAACTGTTTCACATGCTAACCTTAAGAGCAAGCTAGGCTGGGGGCCTCCCTTCCACCCCCACAGTTCCCAGAACACTTCAGGGCTGTTACTGGGACATTTCCTCTCAGAGGCTGCAAAACAACTTCATAGGTCAGCCTGTCCGCGCCCTCCCATTTTACAGATGGGAGAACTGAGGCTCATCTGGTGCCAAGTGAGTCCTACACTCCGGACTAGCACGCCTACATCACTCTATTTCCTAAGAGCAAGACATTTATAAGTAAACATGTACCCCTTTTTTGTAGTCTTTCCCCTTATTTGCTCATTTACATATGTATGTACTGACTAATGGGAGCACACACAGGCCACACAGCACTTGTGTGGAGCTCAAGAACAACCTATAGGTTGTCTGTCCTCTTCTACTGTACGGGGCCCAGGGATCGACCGCAGGCCATCAGGGCTGGTGGCAAGGGCCCTACGCTCTGAGCATCTCACTGGCCCTGAGAAGTTGTTTGTTTTTGTTTTGATTGTTTAGTTTTTGAAGTTCACTTGGAGAGATAAAGACTTCTAAAACTGCCTTGACTCCAGGTTACTTTTAGATGTTTACATTTACACATTGTTTCCTTTGGAGTTCAGGACAATATTCTGTAAGCCGGGTTTGGGGGAATAAGCGGTTTTCACTTTCCCCAGTCGGGGTACACCTAAGCGGAGGTCGCTGGGGGCCGGGGTGACGATAGCCTGGTCCTGAACCCCAGTGGGGGCGGTTTCTACCCTGATCGGCTGGGGTTCTGCTAACAGCTGCCACAGACTCCCAACTCTGGCTTCTGGAAGCTCTGGCCCCCACTCTTCATCTCTCCTCACTGCCTCCCTGTCTGCGGCCGGTGGAGCTGGGATGGGGATGGACTTGGGCTCTAAGGTCACCTGGGAGCACTGTCTTCCTTCTTCCATGCTCACCAAGTACGTGGACCGACGCCAGTTCCCTGCTTTGCGTTTTAATGGAGCTGATGTGTGGAGCCTTCAGGGAAATGGCTTCTTCTCATCTGTAATTCTGCCTCACAGAACATGTCCTTTGGGGCTTCTGGGAGCCTGATATATTCCCCAGAGACTTCAAAAGTGGAGACCAGCCTGCCAGCCCCTGCCCTTCTGGATGACGTCAGTGGCCAGATTCACAGTCAACTGATATCTGGGTTTGTTCCTCTACTTCCCAGATTTGTGAGGAGCCCTCTCAGGACATCCCTCTGCCCTTCACAGTGGTGCTGCCCAGGCTCCAGGGCGAAGCTACATCCTGGAATGCAGCCAAGCAGATGTAACACAGATGCAGGTTCATGGGAGCTCCCAGCTTCCCACGGGCCTTCTTGTCTGCCCTCTGCCCCACAATCCTCACAGTGAAGCCACACCTGTCTCCCTGGCCTTGGTGATTTCAAAGGACGGAACCACACGCTTTTCCCTTGCCAGCTTGGAGCTGCAGGGAAAAGGCAGGAAGACACAACAAAGCCTGGCCGGACCTCTGCAGAGACTGGGCCAACAGCGAGGGCAGGACGAGCGGAGGGGACCTGCCAGTCACAGGCCACGCTGTCAGCCCAAAAATGTGCCTCGCCAGCACTTTTCTAACCCGTAGGAGGAACAGAATGGAACGCTTCCAAACCCAAGGGAGCACAAGCAACTACCTTCACCAGGTTGCCCCAGCAACTAGCTAGGGGGTGACGTCATGGTCACCTCCTGAGGAGATCTGGTTGCTTCTCCTGCTGAGAGTGAAGCCTGGGATCTTAAGCACTGTTAATGCCAGGGTTAATAGGGCCCTGCATCCATAAACAGCAGCTTTTAAGATGCTGGGACTGAGACTCAAGGTCAGCATGGGGAGGCCTTCCTTGGGGGCCTTCCACAAAGGTAACTACAAGAAGCGGGGCCACCAAGTCTGCAGGCAGACTACAGTCTATTAGTGGGGTGTCCTAGTTCTCACGTCTTCAGGGCTGGGGGTCCACACTAAGAATTCTTTGTCCCTGGGAGGCAATGCTTATTCTCAAAATTTAATTCAGAAGAACAGGAACTAAAAAAATTACCCGTGTACTGCCAGCTATAACCACCTACGTATACATGAAGCACAGAGAACTTACCTCCGGAGAGGGGCATTCTCCTCAATATCTTCCAGGGTCTCCAAAGATGATCTCTGGGAGATGAGTCGACGTCTACAGAGACAAAAACCAGGAGTTAATAGTGCACAGTAAAACTGATCAAACAACTGTGTAAATTTTTAACTATCAGGGAAAAAAAAAAACACAGAATAATATCCCTTGGTACATGCTAAGGAACCGTCCTGACACCCACAGGTAAGTGAGGACCTCACCCCTCACCAAGGAAACTTCTCTTTCCAACAGATGCAGACCACTGCAGAAAGCCACAACCAATCAAAATGCAGAGCTGCGGAGCCCAGTCCCAGTGGATACAAAACACCCTGCACCTAAGGCTCGGAATGTGGCGGGAGAGCCAGAGGACCAGGGAGTCTGCGTGAGCCTGGGTCTCCTAGGCATGTCAGCCACGACCCCCATGAAGTCTCACCAACATGACTGCCTAAACACGAGCTGAGCGAGAACAACAACGGACATGTGAAAGTGTACAGGGGTGGGGTGGGAGAACAGGAGACCTCAACCCTACACAAAGAACTCCAGGCAGCTAAGGAACACTGAGAGGGAGAAAGTCTTCCCGGGGAGGAACACACCAATCGGTGATCCAAGCAGCCCTGAAAATAGGCATCTACACACTATCTACTATACTCTATAGTGTATCTGTAGACCTCACACACTGTACAGACTGAGCAGGCTGTGTGTGTATTTAAGAATACATATGTACATGCATACACATATGTGCATGTAACAACACTTAATGAAAAGAGGGACCATGAATTAGAAAGAGCAGGGAGGACTATAGAGAGGATTTGGAGGGAGAAATGGGAAGGGGGAAATGATTTCATTACTTTGTGATCTCATTATAAAAGAAATCTTTTAAAAAAAAAGAAGGGGTGCTGGTGAGAAGGCTTGGTGGTCCTGAGAGCCCCGTCCCTCATGGGAGAAGGGCTCCACAGTTGGCTGTCTGGCTGTCACATGTCCTTGGTGGCACCTGTATGCCTGCCCCACACCCCACATAGTAACAATAAACAAAATTAAAACAAAACAAACCAGATTTAGACAAAAGCCGTCTTTAGAAAAGGCTGTCGTGGCCTGCAGAGGACGCCAGGCCCATCCTGCTTGCCTCCATCTTGATCATGCGCCCCAGGAACAGCCTTTTTGTGGTGATTATAGAAGCAGATGACCTGTTTCAAGCTTTAATTGCCAAATTAAAAATTTGGCAAACATTTTTCCATAAAAATCCATGACAGAAACAAGATGCCTCTTACAATACACAGGATCGCTGAGGTACCGTGAGCTTTCCTGAGCATATGCTGTTAAGAATTCAAACATCCACCATTTGAACCCAGGAACTGATGGATATTCCATTTTGAAAGCATATTTTATCATTTGTGTGCCTGTGTCTGTCCACATGTGTATGTGGGTGCAGGTGAGTGGGGGCCAAAGCCTGAGGTGCTGTTCCTCTGGGGAACTACCCACTTTTTTTTGAGATAAGGTGTGTTAGTTAGGGTTTCTATTGCTGTGAAGAGACATCATGACCATAGCAACTCTTATAAAGGAAAACACTTAACTGGGGTGATTTACAGGTTCAGAGGTTCAACCATTATCATCACGGCAGGGAGCATGGCGGCGTGCAGGCAGACATGGTGCTGGAGAAAGAGATGCTACTTGTTGATATGAAGGCAACAGGAAGTAGACTGAGACACTGGTTGTATCTTGAGCATAGAAAACCTCCAAGCCTGTCTCCACAGTGACACACTTCCCCCCAAAAGGCCACACCCATTCTAACAAAGCCACATCTCCTATTAATGCCACCCCTATGAGCTTATGGGGAGCGATTACATTCAAACCACCACACAAGGTGTCTTCCTGGGACTGAGGTTCATGGATTCGGCTATGCTGGCTGGCCAGGGGGCTCCAGGGGGCTTCCTGTTTTCACCTCATCAGCATGTGGATGCCTGCCAGCCTGCCCAGCTTTTGACATGGGTGCTGGGGATTGAACTCAGGTCCTTATGGCTAGTGCTTTACCACCCAAGCACTTCAAACCTTACTGTTAAAAACCTCAAAATCATTAGGCTGCTGTAAAAATGTTACTGTCAGGAAGGCCATGACATTTCCAGAGAATCAGAAACAAATGATTCTTTGAGGATAACCCTCAGAGACCAGTGAGAATGAATACTCAGTGTGATCCTGCAGAACAGTAACATTTCTGGGTTGTTGAACTGCACACCACCTGCCCAAACCCCCTCAATCTAGCCTCTCTTGGCAGGCTGAAATAAGACCAGTCCTCGTTAACTCAGAATATCTGGTACAGATCCAGCGGGGAGAGTTGGTGGCAACTTTAAATAAGTCCATCTGAGCAACCACTTCCCAGCCAATGATGAGGCAGGAGAGTGGATGAGGACATTTGATACCACCTTTACCCTAAGAAGAAACTGGGACTAAATGTAAAAGCTGGTTTTTTTAAGAACATGTTACCCATCGTAATAAACAACCATGTTCTAGATTGCTCTCAAGAACAAAGAAAGACACAGCTTAGGTTTATTTGTTCATTGCTTTCTTTGTATGTGTATATATAATTCTGAACAGCTACCACACAGCCAGTCTTTTATAAGATAACCAGAAGCATCATCTTTTTGCAACCTAATCAAAGGCTTCAATTTTCCAAGACCCATCTTAATGTTTAATAATTATTCAAATCACTTAAAAATCTTTTGTACATCCAAATTTCCCTTTTTTCTTTAACTATTCTAATTTAGTTGTCTCAGATCCTCATTTGCCAATCATATTAACTAATTTCCTAACACACACACACCCCTCACTATCTTGGAGACATACAGGACCCATGCTGTGGGATATCTTTCTGTATGCTGTGAATATGTGTTGCTCTGATTGGTTGATAAAGAAAGCTGTTTGGCCAATGACAAGGCAGAATAAGGTTAGGCAGGACATTCAAACTGAAGAGATGGGAGAAGAAAGGAGGGTGAGAGGAGACGCCAGCCCACGGCCCACAGAGCAACAAGATGCCAGCAGACCAGTAATGCCATGGCCATGTGGCAACATAAAGATGAATAGAAAAGGGTTAAGTTATAAGAGCTAGCTAACAAGAAGCCTGGCCATACAGTTTGTAAATCATATAAGCCTCTGTGTGTTTACTTGGGACCAAGCATCTGCAGGACGTGGGTGGGAGAGATTCTTTCCAATCGCTGGGCCGCCAGGGAAACTTCCAGCTACATTTGGCACCCAATGTGGTAGCAAGAATTTCCACCCCAAACCTGGGAAAGCTTTAAAAAAAAAAAAGATTCTAAAACGGAGCTAAAAACAACTTCCTAGTTATGTTTCTCAGGCCAGCCATGATACAGAGACGTCATGGCATGCGGGTTCCAGCTACAGCATAGTGGATTCCTGCCGCAGTGCACAAAGGTGTCTCCAAGCTGTGCAATGCACTGCATGGTGGATTTAGCTTTTGCTAGTACAGACAAGAAAAAAATGGTTTCTGGGCTACACACTGCTGATGGAGGCATAGACCCACTGCTCCCCAGAGTTGGCAGTTAGCACAGTACCCCCCAGAGCTGGTGGTAAACGTACCTTCACCACGTTGGGAAACTGAGGTGGGCGGAGCCAGCAGCCAGTCATAGCCACACTGCAGTTTAAATCAATGGTCAAAAAATGATTACAGATTCACAATAAGACAGATTCAGATGGAATAAAACTCTGAATGGTTTACAGTATGTGTAGAGGTGAATGTAGGCTTGGAAGAGAAAAGAAAAGGAATATAGACAGTTATATAAAGAAATAGTTTTAAAAATAATCTTTAAAGGAGATAATAAGAATAACATGAAAGCTAAGCCACATAAAGATGGAAATTGCACAAAGAATTTGGATACTACTTATTATTATATTGTTCTGGGGATTTTTCACTGCAGAGAGACATTTGATTGCAGGGGCTGCTCAGTTAAACCAACATGTATGTTTTAAGGGTATCTTGACTTCAAAGTTTGTGTCTAAGGATATGTTGCTTTGGAAAGAGGTTCTGCTTTTGTTTCCACAGAAGATGAGAAGCTGTGGATTCCTTCCAGGTTAATGTGGTTCCATCAAGGAAGACCCCCTGAGAGGTCTCCAGAGATCTAACATCCAGAACAGCTTCAAGGCAACTAGCTCAGAAAATACAGTCTCACAGACTACTCCAGTCAGGACTTGATCATTATCCTGAATTTTCTCAGGGTCCTCATAAGATTGCCGATGCCCCCAGTCAGCAGGAAGCAGTGTGAGAAGCTACGCCCAAATTCCTAAAATATTGTTTAAAATGTTTATTTTTATTTAAGGGAGGGTTGATTATAAATGAAATCTCTTTCTAAAGAAAATAAGGGGATAGTATAGATATGATAGGATAAAAGGGCAGATTATTGAATCTACTTTTAAAGAGCAACAACTTGTCTGAAATGTTTTACATTGCTATGGATTTCAGTTTATTGATACAAATTTAAAGTTAATTTTGTTATACTGTATATAAAGTTCTACTCTTGTTTAAGGTATTATGTTTATGCAAGTCATTTAAAATTACAATGTATAATTAATAAATACAGATTAATAATTAGTCATCTATGATAATTAAACTTCTAGTCATGTTAGTTAAGTTTCCTAGGTATACATAGATGTACTTCAATTAGGTAGGTAATCTTCAAACACTTCAAAGACCTACAGAATATGGCATTTAAAATGTTTTAAAAACTTTTGACTTTTATGGACATTGAGACATATCATCTCCTGGCAGCACCAATCTACTTCAGAGAATATGATGGGCACTGAAGAAACTCCATATGGGCAAAAAGTTTGGGCAAGAAACTGCTCTTGCCTGGAATGCATGACAGTATGTTGTATAAACTAGACATGCAGGGCCCATGGGAAAATGACCACTGAACTTGGCCAAAACAAGGCTAGATGGTACTTCAGGTTCCTGCTTTGCAGAGGAGACTGCCAGACAATTCTGCAGAACATAAGGAGAAGCGACTGATGAACTTTGCCAATAGGCAAGACAGTCCTTCAAATCTCCTGGTTCACTA